ACAATAATCGACGCTAAATTGCACACTGGATTATCTTGTTACGGTAACGATAATCTTCGTCACGGCTGTGAAGGCCGTGAGGTGCTTCTAAAATGAGAAGTTACTGCACGAGCGCGAGAGAAAGGAAACGACAGAGAGCGAGAGAGAAAGAAAGATAGAACGAGAGAGACGGAGAAAGAAGGAGAGAGAAGGAGCGAGCGAGACGGCACAGAGATGGTTGACTTGATGAAATCATGCCGCGAGAATTAAACGGAGGATACCCCCGGCGTGTGTCGGCGTTGCGGGCGTGTGGAGGCACGAGAGGACTCGGGCCCGAGCTCCAATTGGCGGGAGCAAGACAACGGTAGGAGTTGACTGCAGTGTATACACAGTTAATTAAGCTGGAGTACCACGGCGGAGCCGCCAGGGGAAGAGAGCGAGAGGAATCTGGCCAGAGAGAAAGAGAGAGGGAGAGAGAGAGAGACGAGCGATTGATGAGAGAGGGAAGAGAAAGGAGAAAGAGCTAGCAGAAGGGAAAGCAGCGAGAGGAAAACAGAGGAAGCAAAGCTGAACAGAGAGAGAGAGAGAGAGAGAGAGAGGAAAACGAAGGTCGGATGGAGCAAATGCGCGCTGCAAAGAGAGAGAGACAGAGGGAGGATGCGCTACTCTGTCCTGTGGGCTGCAAACGTAATTTGCTCTCTGGATATGCAGTCCCAGCGGTTCTCATCGTGGCTGGAAATAACATTTTCTCGTCGCACACTGCGCTAATTGATATTTTGCACGAGACGGGTGGCCGAAAGGTTCCTCATCGATGAAAATTTGATAATTGTACGATATTTGTACGTCCACCGCGAGACACTTGTGACAGAGAAGGAGCAACAAAATCTCTCAAATTCGGTCTAAATGTTTCGTTAACGTTTGTGCGCTTTGGGCCATCGTGTATTTTTCAGTCTGTTGACAAATTTTATTCGAGACAAGACTCGATCCGTCGTTTCGCGAAACGTCCTCTTTCTCTCTCGCGAGGCTGCACGAACGAACGAGCAAATCCTCGCGCAGCATTTCACTTGTATACTCGTCGTACACAAAGGATCAGACAGAAATCCGTAGATCCGACCTCAAAGAGCGCCACCCGCTGCGAATTTTCCTAAAACCTGTCGTGAATGTCTGACCGCTTTACAATGGTAACGAAAACAGCTACGCGAAAACGGCTACTGTACCCAAAACAAGCCTCTCGTGGCAGGATCCGATGAATCTCTCGCTCTGGAAACGGAGTTATACCCTGGAATCGTCTTTTATCCCGCGCTCTGTGTCTTGATTCGCACCTCGAGGAGAGCCTCTAGAAAAAGAGAGGGCGGGAAGGATTCGGGAGAGAAAATTGGAGCGGATTTTGGAGCTCGGGGTGCGCCGAAACGAAATTAGACTTATCTTGATCATCGCGGGTCCCTCTAGGCAGCTGCGCTCTCGCGAGGACACAAGAATGGACACGAGAAGCGGTCCTCCCTTTGTGGCTCGTCGAGAGACTCGCGTTAGATTTGCAAACAGTTCTCCTCGAAAGAAGCGTGCATTCGGTGCGCTGCTCCTTTCGACGGCCGGACACGCGCCATTGTGAGCGACCGATAGGAACCAATAACGGATCTAAGAACGCCACAATGACACAGTCGAGGAGTATCGAATGGAGAAATCTGGATATACACACAGAAACCGAATTTACAGTAATTTCGAGCCGATCCGCTTTCGATGGACCGTGGATGATAGGAGAAGAATAGCGAGTTTATACAGTTTGAAACGTCGCTTTGAGGTGGTATCCAATTCCTCTTATTCTGGGATGTAGTATATTCATATACTATATAGGACATTATCGTCTTAACAATCTAAAAATGTCGAGTGATAACTTTTTTAACAACCATATTTACATGTAAAAGATTTCAGTATTAATGAAAAACAATAATAATGAAAAATTTATTACTTGTCTCTCTCTCTCTCTCTCTTTCTCTCTGTTTCGAATAAGTTTAACTATTTTATAAAAAATATTGCAATATATTAATCTCATTTTTACAACTATTTTCATTGAAAAGCACGTATCTCTTTGATTAACATATTTAAATAAAATTTTGATTATAAGACATCAATTTATTTTAGATCAATAAAAGGTTCTAGAAATGAATAAAAATTTTATTCGGAGTTTTTTTATATTCATTCCTATATACAGTATACACATCCCATATACAGTATATATTGTTCTTGTAAGTTTATAATTTAAAATACGTCAACAGAATTATTTAACTAGACAATATTGATTTTTTTTTGCATTATAATATTTATCTCAACTTTATAAACACATGCTGCTCATTTTTTAATAAGCGACAGTTATTCGTATTTCTCTTTCTCTCTCTCTCTCTTGCAGCTCCTCTCTCTTTTGTCTTTTAAAAAAATCGTTAGTCAGCCGTCAGTCCTTTAGTTTAAGTCGAAACGTTTAACGGACGGCGCAGCTACCTGGCTTTATTCGGGGCCCTCTTAAGAGCTCGCTGAAAGATCGCTGTCTGAGAAATTAGCTAAAACTGGAGCTAAGTGCCCCGGGAAAACGGAGCCGGGACAGAACCGGCGCGAAGTAAACGCGCCGATCTAAAACTCGGGCCGATCCCTCTCGCTCCACCGTCAGATATTTATCGCGGTAAGTGGGATCCGGTTAAATGCAACTCGTGATCTGATTTCTGCGGGACCTAAAAGCTTTCCTCGCCCCACCGGGGGTCGCGAGCCAGATTCGTAGCGGAGATTGAACGCCGATGAAAATGGCGAAATTGTTTCGCGCGCGTGTACGAGTACAATACTGACCGAAAAAGCACGTGGGAATATCGCTTTCGAGCGATCTTTGAAACGCGAGGTGAATGGATGTGCTATTGTTGCAATTAAATTCATCTCGATTTTATTATCTCTCGCATGCCTTTCTGTCCCTCTATTTTATTGATTTTCGAAGAACGTGTTATAAAATACTTAGTTTCTCTAAAATATCACAGCAATCGAAAAGTAATTTCGAAAGCTCGATTACAATTATATATGACGATTATTTTCCATCTCATTTATGTAGAACGTGATTAATTATGTTTCAAAGTAAGTTATAATAATTTAATTTAATTTTAAAATTATAATTTAATTTTCAAAATTTATTCGAGTAATCTGTAAAGAATAGGACGAGTTTTTTCTTCAATTTCCATTTACTGTTTACGGAATAAGGAAGATATATTTCGTTATAGAAAGAAAAATGTAAGATGAGATTTGTCAAAAATTTTCATTTCAATATTAAAATGAAAAAAGAATTAAATACGTGTTTCGAATAAATGCAATATCAATACATGTGACTCATCCGACACTTCTTGTGCAAAGAGTACGGCGGGTTCTTTTTTCTGGCGAGATGAAGCGAATATCGCGCAATCGAATTATAATCGGTGGCGAATTTTTGGCGGGGTCTTTCTCATAACGGAAGGAGAACGCGAGCTCTCTCTCTCTTTCTCTCTCTCTCTCTCTCGTCCGCAAACGTATAATTTGCTTCGATTTAGCCGGATAGATTTTGAGTAGCTACTGTTTCGCTACAGGCGGATATCTTTTGTGCCGCGGTTTTGTGGGCGTACACTTCCCCCCGGGCTAAAACGCCAAATGGTAACGACGATACGCGGAATCGAACGCGGAATGGGAAACGGGGATTCGTTTTGTGCGCACGGTTTTCGGCGGGCGCGTCGGCAAAAAAAAAGAAACAATTTCCAACCCCGGATCCGCCATTCTGGTAACCGGAAAACGTCCACTTCTCGTCTCTTTGTCGCGAAGCTAATTTTGGGAGTGCTGAGAGAGGGGGATTTGCGGAAGGAAATAACGGTAAAAAGAAAGAAAAATCTCTCCAAATGCTATTTTTACCGAAATAAATTTTTATCTTATCCGACGAGCAATTTTATTACATAACATTATGGTAAAGATTGGTTTAAGATTTTTAAGAATTTATATGATATAAGTGATAATATTAAATCGTAAAATTGACAAGAATACCGGTGGCCCGGATAGTTATTGCGAATTTATTTGCAAACATGATATTTGTTTTTAAACTTGTAGAATGAGACAATTTATTTCAATTTGCAACGTTTGCGCGAGCGACGACGAGATTGTATGCCATTGTACACGCGCAAAATGCTACAATATACGTGCGTGATCATCGAATTGACATTACGTAAATATACCAACGCTTCGACTACAGCCAATAAAATATAAACGAGGCTTTACTTTATTGTATCGCGCGAAATTTTCCAATGACATTCATGCAGGAATAATATTTTTGTTTGTCCAACGCGGTAAAATAGCCGCGAAATAAATACCTCGTTGTCGGAAAGGTCATTTATCGCGAATGCGATATATAAATCCTTCAGTCTTCCTTAAAAAACGGTAAAACTCCGGCAAACTCGATGTATAAACATGATGTTGAATTTTTACTCGCAAAAGCATCAAAAAATCAAAAGTTAAAGTCGTCAACTTTGTCGGCTGCGTTAACTATTTTTAATCTCTTTCCCTAAATGAAAGCGAATCACGTCGTCGTAAACTCTCCTCTCGATGTGAATCGAGAATGCACGGGGTGCATCGCGGACAAAAGCAGGGCGTAAGGTCCTCGCGAATCTGCGGGGCATCCAGAAGCGTAGGAGGCTCGGCGTATAAGCGGTAAGCTTTACCTCATTTCTGGCAATTACAGGGGATGCCAGAATCCGCCGCAAGAATCAACCCACTCCGGCCGCGTGTGTGTACCATCCGCCTCTGTTTAGGTGAACCACCCCTTCGTGGTGCGCGTGTGCGCGCGAGCTTGCTCAGCCGTGTGCGTTCATCCCCTACGTGTACATGTACAGTCGCAAGGGCACACATACACATGCGCGTGCACGCTACCCTCGTGACGTTCGCACGTACACACCCTGGTGGGGTCGAGACACGTCATGGGAGTCAGTCCGCCCTCCTCAACCCTGCGGCTACCCCATCTAAGAGAGAGGGTTACCAGCAAAATCCCTCGATTGAGCACCGCTGATCTCGCCATGTTCCCGTATCCCGGTCGCGATTGGCCACGGATTCAACGAACAACCCCGCCGATTCGTCGAATCGAGCCACGCCTCGCGATGCTGCTGCCCGGACCACCTCTTTCGTCGGCAAGTAGTCTCTCCGGGAGTAGTTGTGTACAGCTGCAACAAAGGCCACCCCGATAGACGACGGCCGGCTAGTCCTCGTTGACACGACGCACGCTCAAGAGCTTCGACGGGGAAGATTCCATCTGACGCCTGAGAAAGTGAATGAACGAGGACGAGGTCGAATGTCATTCGAGGGATCGGAGGGTATATTTCCCCCCTGTCGCTTTTCCCTGGTCTAAGTAGGCGATCACAGTGGAAGCGGAACAGTCGAGAGGCTCCGTATTTAAGGCATTCGGATTTTAGGCGATAATCCGAAGTCGGCAAACAATATCAAAGAAACGTATCATTCCTCAAGATTAGAAGACTAGGTTTGGCGATGAATGTCTTGGCGAATTTCGGTGAACAAACATCCATCGTTGACTGATGCTAGAAGAGACGAGTCAGTATCGTCGATGAAAAATGTTAATGAGAGTGCCATGATTTGTGAAGAGGTGATAAGTGACGACGGGGATTCGTTATGAAGTTTAGCTCTGTGCATTAAATGAACCAACACATCGGAGTGGATGCGTTTATGAGACCTAATTTAATTTCGCGGGCATGATCTCGTCAACCGATTGATGCGGTCTAAACATTCCAAGACAATCTCGCGGAAACAAAGGTTTCAAATTTCTGCACGCTTTTCTAAATCTGATATCTTTTCTCTTAGTTTTATAAACATTATTGAAACTCTGATGAATCCCTCTTCTCTCTCAAGCGGTGCGCGATGTTATTCGAGATGCACTTTACGGTGAAGAACACGTGTGCTAAAAAGTTTGATCGCGCGATCATCCAGCTGTAGTGCATCTGCAGAATTCGCGGGATTCTTAACCGGCGAGAGGGTGGTCCAGCTCGAAGCAATCTCTGCGAGGAGTCCTGCGTACGAGTCCCCGACGATGGATTCTCAGCAGTTGGTTGACACGGCTTCTCAAAACAGTCAGGACATCGTTTTACCAAAACCGGCCAGTAGCACCCCGAGACACAGCATCGATGCGATTCTTGGATTGGCCAGTCATAAAAGAACTCATCAGGAGATGGAGGACACAAATCGCGACACGCAGGAAAATACTGGTACTACAACTTTGCTATTATATTATTAATTATAACTTAACTTGCAAAATTATCCCTATATTTTCCCTCAGATACGATTTTACATTATTAGTTCTTTACAACATTTCGAAATTTATTTACTTCCTGTCTGTTTAAAACATGAAAATAATAGTTACTTCTTCTAGTGTATATTCTACTGAAATTAATATAAATTAAAATGACGTGAAAAATTTATCAGATTAAAGCATTAATATTCATTCTTGAAAGTCTTCGAAACTTGCCAAAATCTGAAGGAAAATATTATTGTGTGCATATATATTTGTTGCAACATGTTGGGATCACTCAGTTATTGCAACAAAAAAAACGCGATATTTTACTTTGGAATTTGCTAAACAAGTCCCAGATAAATATTGTTACCCTGTTTATTCTCTCTAGTCGGCTAAAGTTCGATAAACGATGAAAAACTAAATATCTTGTTGTTGATTAAACCAGCGTGTTTCTTTCTCTTTTTTTGTCTGTACATTTAATTGTCAGAATCCTAAATGAACAAACGCGACGTGAATTAGCAAAGGATCCCATCATTTTCTCACACCGTCGGATTGAGCGACGCAGAAACGCGACATCCTCCATGAAGTTTCTCTCTCCATTCTAAGATAACATATGCAAAGTACATTGATTTTCAAACTACAAAATATTCATGCTGCCTTTTGAGACTCGTTAACGATACAATTTCGATTATCCGTCCCGTCGATTACTTTCTTTCACGTCTACCCATCTGCAGTTCATTAGTTCGCTATCGCGTCATTAATCACTTCTTCAGCATCGCGCTCTGGCGTTGGATATTTATTACACATTTTATACACGTCGTTTATCAATTTATCAGTTATCAGATTTCGGTTTCTTTCTTATTTAAAATTCTACAAGATTTCGACTTTAAATTACTCCATTTTGTGCGCATCGGAAAATTAACAAGATCAACTTTGATTACATTTAAATGCATTTAGATTTGAAACCTCTGGTGGTATCGTTGGCCCAAAACAAAAAATCAATGGCGCGCTAATAGTCCTGACGGGAGAATGAACTGAATTTCGACCGACGGCCGCGTGTAGTTTCCTACGGAGACCGATCATTTTTTCGCATTTACGGGTTAATTCGATTAGCAGACTAAACCATTTCTGTCCGTCCGTTGAATCTTGCATCCCCTGCTGGACAGGCACGATCAAGCGCCGCGAATTAGCTTTGCCATCCTGTCTGGCAGTTGCGTTACCGGCAATAATGCAATTTGATCGAATTTCGATTAATTATCGCTGCAGTTGTGCGACCGCCTCAATTCCGAGGGCAAGATTTAGGGAAAACAATCAGGAAGCGAATGCGATAGCGGGGGGCTTGAAAGAATAACTGATGCACTCAAATAAATTCACACAATGCAATAATAAAATTAATAGTTTATTAATTCATCGTAAATATATCATCAATAAAAACTGTAATTTATTATTGCAAAATTATAGCATTTTTCATTTGTTATCATCGTGAGCATCATCGTTTCAATAGTATATAAAACAAAGTTTTTCATTACAAAATAACTGTTTTGTTTTTATAGCTTAAAATATTTGCATATATTTGGATTTTTAGCAGATATAATGATATAAAAAATATAAGTTAAAATATAAATTAAAATATAAAATATAAATCATTTGAAATAAAAAATAAAATTATACTATGACATTTAGATATACACTTCATGATTATAAAGTATTATAGTCCAGTGAAATAACCGTTAGTGATATAAATAAATATATGTTATTTTAGATAATAATCATGTTCGTTGCGTGATTTTGTGCCATTTTGATGAGATCAATTTCACTGTATGCTACCTTTTTCATTTTCGTAATAAACCATTTATGCCATTATTTAATTTATGCTGTATATTTTGCGACTGATAGCAATTTTTATTCGAGTATAAAAGCATAATCTAATTTATTTCTATTATGCCGAAATAGTTTGAATCAATACGCTCGCAACTCGCTATACATCTATGATTCATCAATGATTAAACGTTTGATGCACTAAACGCTTTGGGAGCCAGCTGGCCGCATGTGATATTAATCATCGCAATCAATAATTAATACATTTAAATACAATGTATAAAAATATAAAAGAATGTTTCTAATTCATTATCATTTTCATTATCATTTCATCGAATATTACCTAACATTGCAGATGAGAAAAGGGAAAAACAAATGTGCATCTTTTATTAAGCAATTCAATTAAAGATTGAGAATTAATTGCACACATTTACCTTTCCAAACTAAAACGGGACAATTATTCTTATTTTTACAAAATATTTTAAATTATGAAAGTTCCAGATGACACGATATGAATAAACAAGCAGAGTGAAAGCAGAATCAATAGCATTATCAACAGTCGCACGCACTTTGGCATATAATTTAGAAATTCTAATTTTATTCCCCATTAGCTTCGTTTCATTAAAGTGAAACGTCTCGCATAATATACATCGTCTAATACGTTGCCCAATCATTCCAAGGATAGGTGTTGACGTCAATTTCCCGCGCGGAGCCGGGTCGCACACCTGCCGCACGTGTGGTTCCGCGTGTTTACGGGGGCGAGGGCCTCGTTCTCGTCTTACAACGTTATTTATAATTGGAAAATCGTTAATATCTCGCGATGGATCTCGCTCGCCGAAGCAGACGGACGCGCGCTAACTCGACGCCGAAGCCAAATCGGGCGATCGAAACCGATCCGGGCGAGCCGATTACACATGCATATACACACGAAACGTTCGTATATCCGATAATTCCTGTTTCGAGACACTCTCGTCTCTACGCGGCTCGCCTACGCTGCCCGCGAACTGTCGTTCGTGTCATTCTGAAAGTGCGCGCGGGGCGAGAGCGCGAGTTATCGACGCAACACTTTCGGCGGAAGGGTCGGAATCGACAAAACAATTTTGTGCCGGCGCTGCCATTATTGGTAGATACGAGCGGGAAAAAAATGGGCAAGCAGTTATATATCGAATACAAGCAATGTAAATTAACGTTGTCAAAGTGCACATTTTTTTATCTCCGACGAAAAACGAGCGCATTCGACGAACATCGCGATGCTTATGGTAATTTTTAATGGTACCTTGTTGCCTCTGTGGCGTTAATAATTTTTGCAACAATTTTTGTAACAATTTCTGCACGTTACAATTATTATTAGAAATTTAGAAATATCTATTTAAAATTTATATTTATATATATATTAGTAATAAAATTAATTAAATCAAGTACACACCACATATGTGCGCGTGACATAATTTAACATTGTCGGTAAATTATCAATCACTTGATGTGTCCAATTCTTGATTAATTTTTAATTTTGCAAAATATAATGAGACTAAATGTCATCACGTAGCATCAAAATATAAAAGATTTATCGTTTCATATGTATAACGCGTACCTTTACTTGGATAATAATTCTCATCGGATATTTTCAAATTAAAATTTGACGTGCAATTTTATTGATGATGAATACGAAAAAAGAAATCACGTCAACGTGAAGAAATAAGTGTGAAGTTATTCTTATCTGATTTCAAACTATAACAAAGCTGAATAAGCCTGTCAAGTCTAATATGTTCGACGTAGGATTAATCGTCGGCGTTTATTCCCGGGGATTTACGCTGATCGTTTCCGATGAAAACTATGGAGTGGGTCTCGAGAGGAAAAGGGGAAGACCAACCGCGAGAGAAATGTACCAAAAGAAAGACGGAGGCTGCTTAGCCAGGACCCAATCTTGTCCCGCTAATCGAATTATCATTAATTATGATACCGTGCGCGCGCGAGAAAGAGAGAGAGAGAAGAGAGTAAGGGAGGTAAAAGACGAAAGGCCGTCACTAATAAGTATGAAAAGGAGCGTAAGAGAGAGAAAAGGAGAGAGAAAAAAAGAAAAATGGGAAAGAAGAGATAGGTGGAAGCGGCTTTAAGTCGCTTCTTAAGAGGTGAATTGACGTGCCTACTAATGGATCGTGCCTGCCTCGTCCTCTCTCCTTGTCTCTCCCTCATCATCTTCCCCCTGCTTCTCCTTCTCCTCTTCTTTCTCTGCCATTCTTAACACGAGGCTAACAGGTCTGTTATCCTCGGCGAGAATCGGTTGTCTACCGTGCGGTCGCGATTGATCGAAATTAACTCGCTGGAATAACGATCGTTGTCGCGATGTGTGCACGAGCGCGATACGCGTTATTTGTACACGTGTCACCGTGCTACATTACAATTTTAGTATTTGTCAGACTCTTGATTTAGCTCCTGGACTCTTAAAATAAAGCCATATCGCGTTAAGTATAAATTGCTTTTAACATTTTAGATGAACGAAACGTTTGATTGATGTGTATCTTTATTTGCTAGAATAATTCGGCCCATATTCCAGTATATAAATTTTACTATCGATTTTTACTTTACAATAAACATAACATAACATTACACACATAAATATATATCGACGAAAAATGTATTGATATGATTTTTATATAGGATTAAAATAACGAAAATTTTATTGAAGAAAAATGAAATTAATCTTTCGATAAATATACAATTTTATTCCAAGGTAATAATTTGCATTTTCGTACATTTTAAGTGTAAATGATATTTTTTCTTTAAATTTAGCTTCATCAACTATTTTCCTGCATGGCTATTATTTTTAAAAGACAAGCGAATGCGACAGGAAAATGAAACAGGAAATTTTTACATCGCGTTGATACGTCTGTTAAGCAAATATTACCCTGCTGTGCAAGTTATTTTCTTCTCATTCGAAGAGCTCACTGTTCGTATAAATAATTCTCTGCTTTTAATTTGTCTAATCAGTATAATATATATTGCAGCGCGCACACACAGTATCGGAAGAAAATATTGCAAGTTGCGATTTTTACTCCAACCGATGGAAAGGATAGAAAGTGTAAGATGAATAATGGTAGGATAAGCCAATTAAACGACGTATTAGTCGAACAAATGTGAAATCGCTTTCAGTGCGCA